TGATGCTGCCTCCAGAAGAGGGTTTATCTTTACCGTACAGTCTTAGCTTGAATAATGGCTCTAGTTTTGCCTTTAGCCCAAGGGTGGGCAAAATGCGGCCTATGGGCCAGATGCGGCCCACCAGGCCATTCTATCCAGCCCATGGGCCCCCCAAAAATTTAGAAAATTAACATTTATCTGCCCCTGGCTGTCCATCATGCGGCCCTCAACGGCTTGCCAAAACTCAGTAAGTGGCCCTCGCCCAAAATAATTGCCCGCCCCTGCTTTAGCCCAACTCTTATCAACTCAAATTACTGACCTATGGGCACAGTGGTACTTTAAATTGAAGTAACTGCTCTCTCAGAAGACATGAACTGAAGCTTAAAGTGTTGGTGAAAGACACCTAAATTTAAAGAGAGAAAGATTAAACTAAAATAGGATTGATGTGATATAGTAGGCAACTCACACAGCTTTGTAAGGCAGCCGAAGCCCAGTAGTGCAAATTACCATAGGACTAAACTCAAACCAGCTTTCCTCAAGTAGAGTGGCCACACTGACTGGATTAAGAGCAGGGGAATTGGTGCGTCACAAACTGTGTGAACTTGTAGCTGGCATCCTCATTATTTCTAGCCGAGTGCCATTTAAGCTTCAGTTCATGCCTTCTGGACTTCAACTGAAGCAGAGTAGATTTCAGCTGGAAATCAAAGGAAGCTTTCTGAGTATAAGGGTGGGGAAGTATTAGAACAAGCTATCTAGAGAAATTGTGGAATCACCACCCTGGAAGTTCTCTTTTGTTTTAAAAGATCCCCATGAACTACAGCCCAGCAATCTCCTTCCTCTGCTCCAGCTCCTTAGCAATAGCTCCCCTACAACAGAATGGCTTACCTGCACTACCTTCTAGCCCTCTGCCAGCTAAGATAATCTGGTCCTCCCTTCTCAGTAAAGGGGCAAGCATCAGTACGAGACCGATAGGCCAAAATATTCCAGCCTCCCCCTTGACACCTCGGTACACCATACAACATGTGGTCTGCCTGGGCAATCCCAGTGGCCCACCAGAACACTTTATTAAGCCAAGAAGGATTTGAGAAGTAAAACAAAGCCCTGCATCCTTGCCAGAGGAACAGCAAGCCAGCTCCACACCCTGGACAGCAGCAGCACCAATGGCAGAGACATGGTCAGATGCCATTGTGACAGTGCCTATGTTCACACAAATTCTCCCCACGCTCCAGATCAGTCATACACCCATTACACTATTAATTCTTGCTGTGTGGCAGTTCATTAATCTGTGCAGCAGCCTGCACACCTGGCCCAGTTTCACCACTTGCAAACATGCTGAGGGTTTACTTCCAATCCAAGCAGATCTTTGCAGCCTTCCATTAGAAAGTGTACCTTGCTACTGGTCCTCAGAGTCTGACCTGTGCATCCTGATCTTAGGCTAACCACAAGAGGAATGGAAGCTGGTGGAGCTGTGACAAGTGCCTGTACTAGGCTGCAGAGGAAAGCAGCAGTGGCTGGGTCCTTGAGTCAAAGGTTGGTGAGCATGAACTAGTTTATTTCCACCTACACTCTAAAAATGCTGCCAACTACCAATTCATACCACCTGTCCCAACCCTAATCCTCAATCTCCTGGCCTTTTTATCTCTCAAGTAGTCCACCTGCCCCTAATCCATAATTACAGACCCCTCTCCCCTAATCCCCCTACCCTGTACCTTCCTAACACTCTCCATTTCTTCAGACAGCATTAAGAGATTATAACATTCTGAGTGTTAACAGCTCATAAGGGCAGGGCACATACCAGGAACCTCAGGAACAAGTGACCCAGTGACCTGCTTTCAGTAGGCCACATTGCTATTGAAAAATGACCGCCCGAACTCCCTTCTGGTTTGGAGAATGCTCACTCCTTTCACTGTACTTCTGAAGGAGCTGGGAAAAAGTATTGCTCTAAAGTGTTAATCTCAGAGTAAATTTTCCCCCTGTGGACTACAGGCATGAGTGGGGAAACACATGGGAGTCTCTGAAACAAGACTCAGTACACATGCTGCAGTAGCCACACCAAGTGGCCTTGAACCACCCAATTATAGGCAACAGCTTTACTAAAAGCTAAGGGTTTCTGAACAAGTCCCACTCCTGCTCCACTTGGGCTCATCCGTTCAGCATGAACTCTTGATCTAGAAATTGAGCCTGTTCAGCTCTGCTGCCCAAAGGGGGAGTTGTTACCCCATCTTAGCAAGAAGTCTTAGTCAGGGAAATGATCACTTGAGCCTCAAACCGTTGCTTATAATTGTTTGCCAAGTGAGTGTTGCGCATGAGCAATTTTTGTTTATTAAATGCCATTTCTGGTAGGCTACAACTTAGAGTTACCTTGAGTAAGGAGCTCCTATTTGAATAGCCACCCTTTAACTCCCACTCTCCCAACGGTAGTTGCCTGAAGCACAGCAAATTTCAGAACAATGGGAAAAATTTGAAATAACTGAAATGATGCAGCTTTAAACAAAACAGCACTTGTTGAACACTGCTGTGAGCTGTCCCTCTGCTTCACTGCCAATTCATGTCTTAGGCCAGCGATGCTCCAAGCTCTGGCCCCACAGGCCAGGCAAGTGGCACAGGCTGGTCCGCACACTGGCATGGGCCCTGCGCAGCTGCTGTCCAGTACTAGGTGCCAGGATTGGACTCTGGGGCCCTGCGACCCGCCCCCCCACACGCGCTGGGGCTAGGCCCTGTGCCCCAGTCTGGTCTCCCCGTGGGCAGGAGCGGCCATGATGGGTGAGTCTGTCTCAAGCTGTTCACGCTGCAGGTTCCCGGGGGAGCCGGGATCCGACTGGCCCAGCAGAGGCCCACGGCTCCCTGCCCAGCCCGGCCCGCGCACTGCAGCCCCTCAGCTCCGCGAGGTGCCCGCAGCCGAGGCGGAAAGACCACCAGAGCGTCCGGCCGCGCAGGCCCGGTTCTCCCCCCGCGGCTCGCACGTCCCTGCACAGCGCGGCCGGAGCGAAGGCGGGAAGGACCGAGGGCCCCTCCGCAGCGCCCCCACCGCGGGCAGGTAACAGCACCACCGGACCGCCACGTGCGCGGAAAGGCGGCCTGAGGGGCTGCTCCCCCGGCCCGGCCCGGCCCGGCCCGGAGCCACGTGGGCGCAGCGAGGCAGGAGCCGCCCACCGCCG